CAACTATTTCCAGTTTCTAAGCAAGTCTAAGACTGACGTAGCAGCTTAAAAATATTCTCCTGTCTTTGCTTTAGCATATGATGTCACCTTAGATGTTAGCTGTCCCTGCACATCTGGAAGTCCAGGTCTGGTTTTCAGTTGGACTTGCCCTCTTTGTCAGCATTCTAGGAACGAAGTCGAGATTTTTCTCTTGAGCTCTGGAGAAGTGACTGTCTGGAGGTCAGCTTGGAGTGCATTCGTCGTGAACTATTGCTCAGTTTGCCCAAATCTTTATACAGCTCAGAGAAGTCAGAGAAGTGGAGGAATTTGTGAGGTTTTGGTCACGAGCAGATATATCTGGCGGGTGACTGACAAGTACTGTCTCAGCGCACCGAAGTTGGCTCGCGCATCATTTCCTGGCTGTCACTTGCGCATAAGAATAGGCTTCATCAGTTCGCAGTATAAATAATATCAAAAGACGTTGCTGAATTTTATCATCGCCGTTTAAACGACTCGGTTTATCTTTTTTGGTTCGGTATGTATGTATACTTTTTAGAGTAATGATGACGCGGTGCCGGGTTCATATGATTCGAGAAACAGCGTCAGTGACACGTCTTGGGAGGCAGTGGATGAGCCTAGCACCATGCCGACAAGGTGGATTCCAGACCACGCCGCCGTTCGCTGTATGGGTTGTGATTGCGAGTTTTGGGTCATTAACCGGAAACACCACTGCAGGTTAGTTTAGAAAATATTGACCATCGGTCACTCATTTGCCTTTATTGGCAAATAACTGTATTTATGGTATTCTTTAGAGCGTGCGGCAAAATCTTCTGTGCAGACTGTTCGAGTTTCGAATGTCCGGTACCCGACGAACAATTCTACGAACCAGTTCGTGTGTGTAATAGTTGTTTTATGGAGCTGCAGTCGCAGCGACAGACCTTGGTTAAGTAGTTTTACGTTGAAATAAATCATCTTACCATTTATTGACTGACGGATTGTTTACTCTACCTACTGTTCGATGACATACGCATGCTAAATAATTAATATAAATAATTATATTTACACTTTAATTGAGACAGAGATTGTAGATTGTAAATTATTACTGCACAATAATGGCATCATTGTTTTGAACTTGTATGCAAGTCGTGAATATAGCGTAAAAACCTATTTTT